GAGGAGAAGCTGCACATTGTGGGTGGTAAAAGCCATGACCTTCACTTAGCTTGAGCATCACTAGGATATTCCCTTCTTATATCACGGCTGAGCCGGGGGGGAAATGGTTAGGCAGAGAGGAGATTTATTTTTTCTCACAATCATAGAATCATAGGATTTTAAAGGTTGGAATGGAGCTTAGAGACCATCCAGCCCCAACCCCTGCCCTGGGCAGGGACACCTTCCACCAGAGCAGGTTGCTCAAGGCTTCAGCCAACCTGGCTGTGAACACTCTTGAGGACCCTTTGAGGTCTAACTCATTCTGAAATGGGTTCTGGGTGTTTTGCTGGACTCATTTTCTTAGAGGTAGCTGTGTCCAGATGTGGACAGGATGGAGATCCTTTAAATCAGAGTGCTAAGTGTCACCAAAATTCCCCACCTGAGCCCTCCCAGCCCCTGCTGACGTTGATGGAGTCCTATGAACAGGATCATGTTTGTGATGTCTCGTGTGGGTCTGACACAAATAGAGCTGGAAGCAGGAACAAAGACCAAGGTCTTCCCCTCTGAGGAGACAGCACCTACCACCACAAGTCATGTTGGTGTGTGTTCCCCAGACCCAGTGACCTCCTTTTTCTCCCACAGCTTTGATGAAGGAGCATCAAAACTCCTCATATGGATTAGCCAATGGCACCTTGAGAGGTTTTTGACACTCCATCCTTGGAAGTGTCCAAGGTCAGGTTGGACAGGCTTTGGAGCAACCTGGGCTAGTGGAATATGTCCCTGTCCATGGCAGGGGATGGAATGAGATGAGCTTTAAGGTCCTTTCCAAACCATCCTGTGATTCCATGGATGGCCCAGAGTGGCACTGGCATAGATCCAGCCTAGCTCTGAGGGTGATGTAGACCCACAGACACTTCCCGACAGCATTTCCTCCTGAACTTTACACTTAGCATCACATTGGGTTAGGTATTAGGAGGAACTGGATGAACATTAAGGTCCCAGCCCAAACCATCCTGTGATTCTGTGACTTTCCAAGTAAGGGGAACATTCACATCCCTTTGTAAATTAAGGACTAAATTAAGGACTAATTGGAACCATTTTCCTTCCTTTTTAGGCAAGGACTATTCTTACAGGGAGAGGCAGTGACACCACTACACTTTATTACTATTATGTTGTCCTTGATGGCTTTAAGTAACTGGGATTTTTTGTCCAAAGTAGATCTTTTGGGCCACTGATGTGGATCATGTAGATCCCAGAGCTCACCCCAAACACTGGAGCAACTCTGGCATGACTTCACTGGCAGCATGAACCAGGCACTGCCCAGGCTTAATCTCTGCCAAGGTGTTTATCAAACCATCTCTGACCAGATCTTCTCTCTAAGTTTTTGTGCTGGAGGGGGTGGACTCATATCTAGGCCACTCTCTGTGGGTTGGGTTTGGGGCCTGAGGCCTGAGGAGTGGTGTCCACAGCAGCACTGTGAGTGGTGCTCTGTGTGTGCTTTTCTGACACTCGTTTTTCTTCTCCAAGAGCAAAGTGAAAAAGGAAGTAAACAGTGCAGTAAATATGTCAAAGTTTGCTGCTGCTGCAGCCCTGAAGCTGAGCTGGGAAACCTAACACAGTTACAGAGAAACAGGGACTGAGGTTGCTCAGGATGTTGAGCAACCAGATGGCAAAGCAGCAGATTAAAGCTAGTGCTGATAAAAGATGTGGAAGGGGGTAAAACCCACTCTGCCTAGGGAAGAGGAGCTGTACACCAGCCCTTCTCACACTGAGAGAACTTCTGAGTTCCAGGGATGGTGACAGAGGAGATGAAGAGGATGTTGGAAGTGTTGGAGGATCCAGGCCGTGGCCATCAGCACATGGCTCTGCTCCCACCTCCAGGCACAGGAGGTGTCTGGAGGTCCTGGCCATGGGGGAGGCCTCATCTCCCCCAAGGCATGAGTCATGCAGAGGAGGTGGAAAGGGAACTATTCATGGTGCAAGAGGAAGGGACATTGAAAGGTGTTGCTGTGTGATGCCTCAAAGCATTGGAGTTGTGGTTCCCAGCTATGACATATAGCTAAAATAAGGAAATTTATTACCCTGGACTTAGGGAAGCTCAGGGGGTTTGGGTGTACGTTGGCCAAGCAGCTTGGTGGGTCTGACCTCAACACACTCATCTTGCCAAGGTGTGGAGAGGAGAACAGGAGGAGAAGGAGGGATGTGCTTCCCCACTTTTGTGCCCACCTTCACTTGCAAGTGCAGTTTGAAGTCTCAACATGCAAAAAAAAGCCCTAATGAGCTTTTGGTGTCTCTTCCCATGGTGACAGTGCCAGAGGAAGCTGAGAAGTGCTGCCTGAGGTGATGAAATCGTCTGCAGCGGTTGCAGGCAGTGTGTGGGTTGGGAGCTCAGGGCTGTGTGGGAGCTGATGGAAACAAGGGGGTGTGATGGGTGCTGTTGGAAACATGCTGAGCTCTGCTTCCACTCAGCCCCAGCTCATCCTCCTCACCTCCTTTCATGTGGAGATGAGGCTCCCCAAGAACCTGATGCTGCTTTTGAACAGCTTCAGCTCCCCAAGCATCCCCCAAGCCCTTCCCTGGGTCTGTGCTGTTTCTCCAATGCCTTTTCTGTTGGCCTAGCCCAAATTAAACCTCATTCTCTGTCCAAAAGCCACTTGGCATTTCAGCACAAAGTGAGGACAGTCAGGCTGGTGAGGACGTTGGCAGAGGCCTCAGTGCTTTGCTTCTCAGCCGTAACAACCCTCCTGGGAGAGAGATGCAGGCAGAGGAAATGCTTCAAGCAGAAGAAAGGGAATGTTTGGGGGGATTTTATTGCTCTGTCACATTCTCACTCAGATTCCCAGTCCAAAACCAGGCTTAGTACTCAAAACCTTTCCAGAGAAAAGGTTGCTGTGGGACCTTCTGTTGGTTTCAACAGGCTAATGGAACAAAGTTCAGGTGTGGGATCAGATCTTGTCTAGCACAGAGCTCAAAGCTGGGCAGAAAAGCCAGCAAACAGCACTGCAGCAGTGGTTGAGCATTGCTTGTCTTCTCCAAACCTCCCAGGTGCCACATGAGGCTTTCTTGGGTGGCAGAAAGGCAGCAGAGAAGCTCTTTGCTGCTGTGTGATTGCTCCAGGGCTTGGGCATGGGTTGGGATTGTGGATCCTGAGCCATTAACAGGCATGGAAATATACCTTAGGGTAATTTAAGTGCTACCTTGATTCTCTAGATGTCCATGGTAGCATCACTGAGGGCTTGGGAGGCCTCTGTGCTGTAGAGTGTGGCCCAGCAGGTCCCACCTGGAGCAGAGGGAGGACAGAGGTCTCTCCTGAGTTGGGCTCATGTTATCTACCATAGCTATTACACCCAACTCCCTGTGAAAGGAGATGTTCATGCTGACCCCTTTTGGGTGTGTACCCACATGATTTTTGAGGTGGAAAACTTGAGCTTGTTGAGGTTTCTCTCACTGAACAATTTCTGAACCTGTGACACAGCTTTGTGCAATAACTTTTTCCCCTTAGAAGCTGAAAGTAGCTCTGGGGAGTGAGATGGGGCCATTCTGCTCCTCCCATGGGGGCTGGAAAGGATGGTGAGGGTCTGATTACTGCAGCTACAGGAATTCTTAGATTCACAGTGTGGCTGCCCCAACCCTGGCAGTGTTCACAGCCAGGTTGGCTGAGCCTTGAGCAACCTGCTCTGGTGGGAGGTGTCCCTGCCCAGGGCAGGGGTTGGGGCTGGGTGATCTCTAAGCTCCATCCCAACCCCTAAAACTCTGTGATTCTATGAATTACATTTGAAAACCATTGTTAAAGGATTTTTTTTATTGCCTACAAGAGGAAATATAAAAATAAATACTTTTCCATCAGTTGGAATGAGATCCAATGTGCTTTGTGGCTTCCCTGCTTGGCAGTGCTCACTCAGCAGACACTCAGGTGGCTCAGATTCCTGTGGGGAGGAGCTGATGGAGTTTTGTTTCATTATATAGAAGGGTTTTTAAAAAGACAAAAGTCTCTCTGTGTTCACACACTCTTTGGGCTTCACATCAGTTCCCTCCAATATTTATATTCTTTAATATAAATTATAAACCAACATTGGCATAAATAAAACCTGAAACTGTCACATATCAAATGTAACATGTCAAACATGTACTGAAAAGTCCATTTCACACAAGAAGGTGCAAATGAAATAGCAAAGTCAAGCTCAAAGCTTCTGTGGGTTGATTTCATAGAGATTATGATTAAAAATACATCCACAGTTGAGCATTTCTTAACCATCTCTCAGAGCCTCTTGGGTGAGAGATTTGATCTGTTCCCATTGCAGCAACATCTGGAAAGGTTTGGCCTCTCTGTGTTTGAATCCTGTTCTTCATGAGTGGGTTTGGTGCCTCTGGGTCAGTTAGCAGGGAAAGGGAAATTATTTGCCTCATCTTTGGTGTCTGGAGGCTTCCATGACTGTGATTTGAGGATGTGTCATTTGCTACACCCCAAAATGGATCCTTGGTTACTTATTTAGATGACAAGTCCCTTCGGGTCACCTTCTGCTCCTTACTCCATGGTCAGCATGGCTTGAGGCTCTTGGGATTCTCCATGGAAATTAGTCACTCTGGATTTTTTTTTTGCTTCAGAAATACAGAATACTGTGCCACCTCCTACTTTGTAGGATCAAATCCAGTAGCAAGAGCCCAAATTGTTTGCTGCCTCTTGCTGAAGCCACAGTGCATTACCAGGACATGTCTGGGCAATGTCACTGGTGACAACAGGGCACAGCATCACCTCCACCATGGGTCTGCACCCTCCTCCTGCTGCCCAAGCCAGGAAATGGAAATGCTCTTATTTATAACGAGAGAAAATTTGCAACCAAAGGATTAAATCAACATATTTCGAGTCAGATTTAGGTTTTGGGGGTTTATGTTTGTTTTCTTCCAACCCTCACTGAAAGCAGAAGTTTGTCTGAGTCATCACTCTCTGGACTGAGGGAAATACTTAGGCCAAAATATAGTGAATATTTGAAGTGCTGACAACTGCCTGGGGAAGGGCAGAGCTAGTATTCCGTGGTGTCCTCCCTGAGCACATCCCTGGAGTTCTTCCTGGCAAAGCTGAGGTGGCTGAGCTGAATGCTGTCCTGCAGATCCTGCCTGGAGAGGCGTCTCCTGAACTCATCCGTGGTGAAGTAGTAGATGACTGGGTCCACACAAGAGTTCAGGCTGGCCAGGCACAAAGCCACAGCATGAAACACTGAGATCAGCTTCTGCTGCACACAGTCATCCTTGATCTTCTTGGTCTTGACAAAGAAATCCAGTGGGAAGCTGATGTGGTAAGGTGCAAAGCAAATGAGGAATACCAGGGCACAGGTGAGAATCATCTTCAAGGCCTTTTTTTTCTCCCCCAAGTCATGTGAAGCAGAGTTTTTCTCTTTGAGTGATAGGACAGTCTTCCAGGAGCAGTAGAGGATGATGAAGAGAGGTGTAACAAACCCAACCAACTCCCCTATGGTCATCAGCATGATGGAGATGGGAAGGTCAAGTTCCTGTACAGGCAGGTCCACAAAGCAGGTGTTTTTACCATCCTCCTTGAACCTGAGGAGTGGGAATGGCAAACAGCCCACACAGACCAACACCCACCCAATGATGCTGATGTAGACATCACAGATGCGTCTGCAGTTACTGGACCTGAAGGGATACATGAGGAACAGGTATCTCCTCACGCTGATGCACACCAAGAAGTAGATGCTTGCATACATGTTGACATACTTCAGGTAGAAGCAAAGCATGCAGAGACCTTTGCCAAACTCCCACGTCCCTGTCAAGTAGTAGAATATCCTCAGGGGTAAAGACAACACCTGAGACAGGTCAGCAATGGCTAAATTGATCATGAATATCACAGCCCTTTTAGTCTCTTTCATGTAGCCATAGAAGACCCACAAGGCCAGTGTGTTGCCTATGAGCCCTGGGACAAGGATGACAGTGTAGGTAATGGCATAGTAAGACTTGAGGTCTGTTTCGTTGCAGCTTGAACTGTTGGTCATGGTTGTACTCTGGAGCTGTGCTCAGCCCCAGCATCATAACATGTTCCTCAAGTGTGTCCTGCAGTCAGCTTGTCCTCAAGTTGGTGGTGTTTCAAGAAGTTCAGCCTTGGCATCTGTGAGGCTTTGGCTACCAGGTCATAGTGTCCAGTCCAAAAAGGAGCTTCATCATGGGGTGAGTTACTGGAAGTCCTGCTCATGTGCTGTGCTCTCTGTCAGAAGTTACCAGACCTTAATGTGGTCATGGGCAGGATGGGAAGGGAAGGGATCCACACTGGGAAATGCATTGCTATGTGCCAAAGTGGATAGTTCCTCACTGGAGCTGTACCTCTGTCACATTTGGGTGGCATTTCAGCCTCTTCTCTCAACACAGCAGTTCCACAACTGACATGGCCCCACAGCTGAAAGACATAAAGGTGCAGTTAGAGCATGGTGAGGAGACACGGGTGGTACAGAGCAGAGGGAAAACTTCCACCTAAGATCTAATCTAAATTTCCCTC